AGGAATATACCCTAGGGTTTAGGGTTTAGGGTTTAGGGTTTCCATATCCCTTAATTAAGGAATATACCTTAAATCATCTTAGGGATCCCTAATATGATTTAAGGTATAGTTCTCAATTAAGGGGTTTTGGAGTCTCTGGGGGGCCTTAAATAATTAGAGAAGGGGTTGGGGTATGTTACACTATAATTATAGTAGGGTTTAGTTAGGGTTTAAAGGGCGCAGGAGGGTTTAAAGGGCGCAGGGTCCTTCTGGGGTTTAGGGAGTTAAGGGGGTTTAGCGTGTAGCGTTTAGGGGTTTAGGGGGTTTAAGTAGGGGTTTAGGGGTGAGGGTTTAGGGCTTAGGGGTTATGGTTCAGCGTTTAGGGCTTTGGGGTTTAAGGTGTTTAGGGTTTAGGTGTTTAGGCGTTTAAGTAGGGGTTTAGGGGCTTTGGGTTTAGGGGCCTAGGGGTTTAGGGTTTAGGGTTTGAGTTATTCAGAGTTGCCTAAACGGGCTTAAGACTTGCATTCTACGGAGGTTTGTTCCACTAGTTGCGCCCGGGTTTCTTGCGGCCTCTGTCGACTTTCGCGTGGTTCAACTCAGACCAGCTTCATAGAAAAACGACATTGATGTTCGTCCGACATGATTGATCCTAAAGCCTAAACCCTAAACCTTGAATCCTAAACCCTAAACCCTGAACAATTGTATCTTCAAGGTCGCAGTCCTGCCAATGATGCCCAGGTTTAGGGTTTGGGGTTTAGGGGTTTAGGGTTTAGGGTTTAGGGTTTGGGGTTTAGGGGTTTAGGGTTTAGGGTTTAGGGTTTAGGGTTTAGGATTTAAGTTTAGGGTTTAGGGGCAGGGATGCCCGAAAGACTTCACAAAGCAAACCCCGAGGATGCTTGAACTCCGAGTGGTGTTCGGGTGGGCCGCATGCTTCGCGGTCCCTTATAAAAGGACCCTCTAAGGGACCCTACTTTAGAGAACTACCCACATAGAGCGCCTATAGTACCCTTTATAGCCTTTCTAAGGAAATTCAAAAGGAAATATACGGCCCATGAGGTAACAGCTGCAGACCCCGAAGCCAGTCAGTCTCAGACCCCCAAACCCAGCAAAGCACCTGCATAGTAGAAAGTAAGGGTTCTATAGAACGAATCACTAGTATGGGATAAGACTCTCCTGTAAACCCAAAACTCTAGACCCTTTGGGAAGCCCTTGGCCCAAGGTTTCGGTTTTGGAGAGTCTGAGGCACCGGGCTATGAAAAGTCGATGCACCTCCCGCAGCACGGAATATATCCGTCCTCATATTTAGGGTGGTTTAGGGCTTAAACCCTAAAGCCTAAACCCTAAACAGGTGATTCAGGGTTCAGGGTTTAGGGTGGTTTAGGGTTTAGGGTCCCATAGTCTCATGTAGGGTACGGTAATAAGATAAGGGTCCATATTGGGGGACCATACCTTTTTACTTCAGATAATATTATAGGGTAATATAGGGGCCTTGAATAGGGTTTGGGGGGTTCATTATGCAATAATTTCGATAAGGAGCCTCCCCAAAACCCTACGTATTCTATTTATTAAGGCCCCTACGTTACATATGATAACGTAGGACCTTTTCCATCGGTCTTCAACCTAAGTTAGAAAACGCTGACCCTAAAATCCTGCTTCATCACGGGCTAGGGGGCCCTAAGTAAACCTTAGACCGGGTTTAGGGTTTAGGGGTTAGGGTTCAGGGTTTAGGGTTTAGAGTTTAAACCTAAGCATATCGCCAGGCTGCTGCCAAAGATGAAGCCGCCGCAATGTTCGGGCCCAACTGGCAGGTAGGAACATGTGCTTTGTGTTCGGTCTTTTACGACTACTGTGCTACTGTTGTCGATACCTGCATTACCGTGGACCCTAAACTGTGGGAATTATGGCATATTCCTTATTATGGGTACTGCAAAATTTTTTATATCATCAACCGTATTGCTTACTACTACTGCCAGTGCTTCTTTGCTGCTGCTGCTGCCGCTGCTGCCGCTGCTGCCGCTGCTTATCATCATTGTCTCTGCTGTGTTGCCGAAATGTTCTTGTTGTTGGGCACCGCGGTTTACAGGATTCGGCGGTGAACCCTAAACCTGAAACCATCTGTTGCTGTCGATTTAAGGTTTTTGAGGTGGTCACGGGTAGGGTGGAGGGGCTAGGGTTCAAGGTTTGGGGCTTAGTGTAGGTGGGTATTTGTGGTCAAAGGTTGCGGAGTTTCTTGTTTTCCAGGTTCGCATACCCTGTTTACCGATCATATAGGTAGTTGTCAAAATTATGGGCCCTTTTGGGGTACCCTAAAATAATAGGTGCCGTGTTATAATAAGGACCCCAAAAGGGACCATAATTTTGACAACCACCCAAATGGCAACTCCTACACCCCAGACCCTGAACCCCTAAACCTTGAGCCATGGAAAACAAGAGCTTCGGACACCCAAACCTTTCTGCTGAAAGCTCACAACAGCTCGGGCCTAAAGCCGAAAAGCCCAAACTAGTTTTCAGAATAATTCTTACCAGTGTGAACGATTCTAGACATCCCGGGAGCCAAAATGCCATCAAGACGCCTTACTCTTGTCCCACATCATGTCATCTGCCACCTGAGTCGCTTCTGTTCAAGCCTTTTTCAAAGGGTGCGTAGTTTCCCAATTCATAAGCCAAGCCGTGCTAAGCTTGCGGGTTCAAGAGGGTTCACACCATCCCAAGAAAAGCCTTCCGTGCTAGGCTTCATAAAACCCTACACCCTAAGCCCTAAACTAACTCCTAAGGTCCTACACCCTTGCTCTAAGGCTTCTCACAGAGCTTTGCATCTTGCCCCTTCCTCAAACCCATGCGATGAGTATGCTACGCCTGGGGGTCTACAGTTAGGTTGAAGACTTGACTGTAAGGGAATGTGAAGGATAATAGCGGGGCCTTCAAAATCAGAATAGGGTTGTGGAGCACATCATACTCCACCGTTGTACGAGGAACCCGAAGGAAGTCCATTTGACAAACCTCTTCCGACCCCTACAACTCTTTGGAGTTTGCCTCTGCCTGCCAAAAAGTAAGTTACGCCAACACCCTTAACCCCTAAATCCAAAGCCCTAAACTCCTAAGCCCTAAACCCCTAAACCCTAAACCCTGAGCCCTAATCCCTAAACCCCTAAACCCCTAAGCCCTAAATCCCTAAACCCCTAAACCCCTAAACCCCTGAACCCCTAGAACCCTAAAACCCTGGAGCTTTTGAGCTTCGGCTGCCTGGGCGATCGAGTGCCCTTGGCTGGCTCGAATCCAGGTCTTGCCGTTCTGGCACAGGGATCCCGGGAGGAATAAGCAAGGGGCCTTAACAGCTAGAGCAGGTTTTAGGGTTTGGAGTTTAGAGCTTAGGGTTTAGAGCTTCGGGTTTAGAGTTTAGGGTTTGGGGTTTCAGGTTCCATGGGTTGCTGTGAAGGTTTACTAGAAGGGCTGCGGTTCGAGGATTGCCTGTGTCAGGGTTGAGGATTGAATGGCTACACCCTGAACTCCAAGGCCTACTATTGGTGCAACACATAAACGATCAGAAGGCAAGGGTCATTGGCTCCTTGAAGGATCCTGCACTGCGCTGCAAGGGATAGTACAGGGTTTTCTGTAGGGACCTATTCAACTTTCAGACTAAGGTCTTTTGGGTTCTATATGATACAAAGCGAGGGCTTTAAGGGGACACTACTACTGCTAGTCTTGGGGCGGTATTTTGGTATAATCATGTAGGTACTATCACTGGATACCTTTAGTAGTTGTGCTGACCTTAAACCCTAAACACCACGTTCATGCCGTTAAATTGCAATGCTACCCTTGGCAGGTGCAGAGCACGAACCTCATAGATGGACCTTAAACCCGAAACCCTAAACCCTAAACCCTTACAACCCCTAAAGCCTAGACCCCAACGCCCTAAAGCCTGGACCCTAGACAGTCAACTTGGGTGGAGAGTTGAACGCATCAGGATTGAAAGTTATGTAAGTTATGTATGGTTTCGAGTGTCGCAGTTTAGTGTTGAGGTTGTGGTTCAGGGTTTAGGCTTAGGGTTTAGGGTTTAAGATTTTGGGGTTAGGGCCTGGGTTTAAGATTTAGGGTTTAGGGCCGGTTTAGGGTTTAAGATGTTGGGTGTAGGGTTTGGTGCCCGGGGTGGGGTTTTGGGTTGACGGGTCTTGGGATGCTTAAAGTGTAGGCTTGAGGTTTGGGGTTAGGGGATACTAAGCTTACTACTACCACCTATTCCCAGCCTTGTAGTCCTTTGACACTTCGCCAAGACAACCATCAAAAAATGATTTCAAACATCCCTAGAGTCAGTTAAACGGGTCCCAAGACACTCCACACAGTGCGAACCGGAACTCACAGGCACTACTCCTTTTGAAGCTTCCTCACCTCAACCTCCGACAAACCTGGCAGAACATAGAAAAGCCAAAATGCTGAACCGTTGAGGGTTTAAGGTTTAGGGTTTAGGGTTTAGGGTCTTAGGGTTTAGGGTTTAGGGTTTAGGGTTTAAGGTTTAGGGTTTAGGGTCCTGTACAACCCGAAGCACCGAAGCAACTCCTTTCACTCTCCCAGCTCGGTACAAGCTAGCCGCTCTCTGGACCCTCGACCCAACACCCCCCAAAGCCCTTAACGAATCTGACAAGAGCCAGCGTCCCTAAACAAGACATCGCCGGGTGAGCCCAGTCTTGCATTTCAAAACGTTGCTTTGGACAGGTCCTTGGCACGAGGTTGCTAGGCCCCTAAACCCTAAAACCAAAACCCTTAAACCCAAACCCTAAACAGAAAAACCCTGAACCCTAAACATAAAAGAAACTCTAAACCCTAATCCGCGGTTCAGGTACAGGATTCACAGTAAGGCTTTTGGGTCTCGGAGCCTCAGCAACTTGCATCCTCGTGCACTGCATAGGACCTTCTTAGGCTTGTAGCTGCTTGGTGGGGTCGCAAGGCTTTCGCCGGGTTTAGGGTTTAGGGTTCAGGGTTTAGGGTTTAGGGTTTAAGATTTAGGGCAGGGATTCGGGTATCCATGTACTATAGGCACCGGCAGAATTAACAATACCATATCCTAGGCTTCCTTAAACTAAGTATACTCGACTCTACCCAAACCCTACCGTAATTGTTCAGGCTGGGGCTTAGGGCTGCTAACCCCTAAACCCTAAACCCTACGTAAATATCCGGCAGCTTCAAAGGTATGGCTGGCCCGACGTCACGTGACGATTTCAGATCACCCGGCGTGTCAGAACATACCATCGCACATCCCAGGGCTTATGGCTTCGGATGCATAATGGCCGGAGACTCGAACACTTCAAGGCATCTGGCCCCTAAACACCGGCATTAGGATCCCTTTTAGAATTCTGTTTTGAAAGACTGCCGTATTGCTTTTCGGACCTAAAAAGAGGGGCCCTAGTTTGGAGAACTATCCACAGACCAGTCCGTAAGAGCGCGGCCGGACAATTTCTTTGATGTCTCTGTAGGTCGCGGAGACCTGCCTTTGATGTCGGATCCATGGATCTTGAGTCTGAACCTAGGCCCTAGACCCTAAACCCTGAGCCCTAAGCCCTAAACCCGAAAACCCTAAACTCTACACCCAAAGTCAAGGCGTAGGGCTTGGGATTCGATCTAGGAGTTAGTTTTTAGGCCTCCGGGCTCAGAGCCTAATGTAGGGGCCTGAATCATTACAATAGGGTTTTGGGGGTTCCTTATTATGATTGTAGTACAATATACCCCCAAACCCTATTCTAATTACCAAGGCCCCTATCTTCGGTCTCAGACTTCGATTTAGGACTTGGGGTTAGGGATCAGGGCCAGGGTCTTGGTGTTCGATTTGGGACTGAGGGTTTAGGATTTAGAGCTTAGGTTTCAGAGTTCAGGGTTTAGGGTTTAGGGTCTGGGGGCTAAGGTTTAAGGCACCCACCATGATTTCGAACCTCTGACTCATGCAGCAACCTTTCTTAGCCAGCACGACCATCATGACGAAGCCTTAAGTGCCAACCTCAAAATCCGAAACCAGAATAAGCCAGAAGCCCTTTCAAACCCTGACAACAAGAGCCCTGTCTCGATTCTCCTAAACCCCTTCCAGAATCCCTTTCGGCAACTTCCTATATGATCTAGATTTCTGCGAAGGGCCTACATAACCCTGCGATAGAGAGGACCGTAACAATTCGAATGGTGCTTTGGAGTACGCATATGAGACTCACGGTGATCAGGAACCCTAGGGTATAATATTCCGGCGCGCATGTTGTGTACACTACAAAAACCTTACAAAAAGCAACCTTAAAACCCATTAACAAATCTATACGCCCCTAAACCCTAAACCCTAAACCCTAAACCCTAAACCCCAAACCCCCAAACCCTATACCCCTTATGGTACGGCCACAACTCTTCTCGCATGAAGGGCGCCTGAGCTCCAAGAGCTCGTCGACCGCCACCCAGCCGTGCTTGTGCATATAGATGTCGAGCTGAAGGGGAAGCGGCATTATGTTATGGGTTAAGGGTTTAGGGTTTAGGGTTTAGGGTTTAGGGTTAAGGCTTGGGATTTGCGTTTGGGGTGGCTAGGGAGGGTTGGGATTCAAGGTTAAAGGGTTTCGGGTGCAGACTTTAACAACGGATTCTTGAGAGGCTGTGGGCTTTCAGGGATTGAGGGCTTAGGCTTTGGGGCTTAGGGCTACAGTCATCTAGCGACCTGAATAGTTGCCCGCATTTTCAAACTCCACATCTACATCATCTAAATCCCGAACCCTAAACCCCAACACGCCTAAACGGTGTCATGCAAAAGCCCGATCTTTACTGTAGAGCTTAGACTTCTATGTGAGAACGTCTCGGAAATGCAAGGTGTGACCTTAGGGCTTAGGGTTTACGGTTTAGGGCTTAGGGTTTAGGGTTTACGGTTTAGGGCTTCCTACCTGCAGGACCTGGGGTAGAAAAGGTATGTTAAATCCAAGGCGGCTTTCCGTGGCCCTACGCAGCCTAAGCCCTAAACCCTAAACCCTCAACCCTGAACCCGAAGCCCTAGGCCCCGAA